GTCAAGTTGGTCGCATTGATTAAAACAAACTAAGCTAGTTATAAATCTAATTGTGGTTATGTATAAATTATTGTAGGTTACATTGTGCAGTTGTCAAGTTGAGTTGTCGAAATTCGTAGTTAAAAATGCAATTAATTTGGCTTTGGTGGTGCTTGGATGAGTAAAATCATATAAAAAAAGTAGTTAAATATAGGTTGCTTTACGGCCCAGAAGAGAAAGTATTCCTAGCGGATAATAATCTTCGCTTTGAAAAGAATTTATATAAAAGAAATTTTTTGTGAACGTAAATGTTGTCCAATGGTGAATAATGTGAAAATAATGTGTGATGTAATATTTATAAAACCAAATTCGTTACTTTTTTACTGCAAAAATGTCCATAAGGCGATTAACTTTTTCTTCCATTGTGGCATTTGGCATAATTTCATGAAAATGAAGTTTTGCCCCCAAAAGGGCTTTTACATTCGAATTCGTTGCTATTATTTTTGGCATAATTATCTTTTTATTTATAATTGACAAGTAAATTATCAATAGTAAATATTATTGTCAATTTGACAGTGTCAAAGTATTTAATTAAATTCTTTAGCAGAACTACCATTTTTAAATACCAAAAATACTAAGTTAAACTGCCATTAAAAAATGAACTGTACCTAATATTACGGTTAATGTTTATTTATAAATGTTTATTTTAAGGTTTAAAAATACCTATACAGTAATACTTTTTTAGTTTAAAATGATCGATTAAAACATATTTTTACTTGTTAATTGCTCATTTTATTAATTGAATTTTGCTTGCCATAAAATGCAAAAAACGTAAATAAAAATAAACTAACCTAGAGAGAAAAATATTCTTTGTCACGAATGGAAGAAATCGCTTTGTTCTAGTGAAGGTGGGTAATTAATTGTATTTAAATTCAGGACAAAGCGATATTTTTTTTCCATTTTCCATCCGGCTCCATTAGGCAATGCATTAAACTCAATTAAAGCTGAGCTTAGAGAAGAAAAAAATATATCCGTGATCGGAATAAAAATCCAAGGATTCCATGATTATGCTGTACATTTACCTATTAAATAAAACCAGGATTTTGAGAGTTCTACCGATGTTTGTTGGTTTATAATTTAATGTTTTCTTATATAAACGAAGTTTTAATATAAATATGTGGAAATTATAAACTGAAAAATCTGGTATCTTTTAAAATTTCTATATTTATTATTTAATGACCAAAATATTTAGTCTAATAAATTTGTTTTCAATTCATTAATTTAAATATTAGCTACATTACTATAGTATACACATTAGTAGTTCTTCATTAAGTTTGGCATTTATGTTATCTTTTTCTTGTGTTATAATTTTAAAAAAATGTTTGACTAAAATATAAGCTAAATAAGTTAAAAAGAGTTAAAAGACTTTTTTTATCACAGTAAGTAAACAATAAAACGTCCAATATGAACACAGGATACAGTATCATTTTTCCATTGCAGCGTCAAATGAAATCCGAAAGCACCCGGATATGATGGCAAAATCGACCCATCATAATTTTCTACGCCGCTGTCAACTTTGTGTGGATAATAACGCCGGGATATTTAAACATTTATTATGATTTTGTGAAACACTTCTGCCCGTTAAAAATATACTAAAATAATCTTAAAAAATTATTATGGTTTATATCTGTAATTTTACACAGTAAAAAATTTTGCCCGTGTAAATTTTTTAGTGTAGGGGTAAAAATATTAGAGTTGATTTATAAGTGTAAAAGTTACAAAATACACTAGGTAGCATTAAGTGTTTATTAACTTTTATCAACACATTTAAAGAATATGAACATTATTCATTGGTACATTCACACTATTTATTATTAAAATAAATCAAAAGGGTAGAAAAACTTAATGCGAGTGTTTATTATAAGGGGTATACCCCTTAATGTGTTAAATAGTGACAATATGTACACTACAGTGCACGCCAATTTCTTTGTTTGTTTTGATGTTACTAAGAGCTCTTTTTTCTTTACACTACTAGTGCAAATTGTATCACAATTAAAATTAAATTACACCAATAGTGGCAAAATAGACTGAAAAAACTGGTAATAACCGAAATGAGTTTTAAAATGTTTGGTTGGTACCTATCTACCTAAGCAGTGCATATCCGGAGATACCGCGTTGTGGAAGTGTGGCATTTTTGTTCAGTTAGATTTTAATCCATAAGGGGACATTCTTATTTTTTGCTAAGTCCTTTTTCTTTAAGTCTTAATACTCAATAAATACCAATATGTTAAAAGGATGTCCATACCCGACCTATATTATATATCAATAATTTACGGCAGTAAGTCAGGTACTTGTAAAATTAATAATATAAATACATACAAACTTGATTTACTTTTTATTTTCAAGCGTAATGGTTGTTATATTAACCTATACCTACATTTTTATTAATTTTATGGAAAAATTGTACACGTGTGGTAAATCCCCGACATACAGCCGCCTGACGCCTCTCCACCAATGGGATCACCCATTTTTTATAACAGAAAAATGGATTACTGATGAATTCTCAAGATAATTCATTGCTTACAAGTTGACAGCCAGTAAAACATTGCAAAACTTTTACGTTTTAAGGAACCATTTTGCTTAAGCCAGCCATATTTACCTTTTTGTTTTATTCACTACCACCAATAGGTTTTACTCAAATAATAGTGTTAATTTACACTAGATGTTTGCACTAAAATAGTAAAAGTACCTTTCTAAAATTAGAACTTTTCCAAAGTAGTGTTAATTTACACTGAACAAAAGTGGGATTTTACCCAGGAAGTGTAGAAGTACACGATTTTAGGTAAATTAACACTTTTTAATACAGTGTAAAATTACTTTATCCTCAGTGCTATAGTGTTTGGTGACACCCTGTATTTAAAATTTAAAATATGGATTTTTTGTAACAATTATAATAGGTAATACAATATATATCCAATAAGTTTAATGAAGGCACTACCAATTTGTCCATTACAATGAATATTATCTACAGAACTAACTCATCCTTGTAAATACCGATGTAGGCAGCAAACAACATAAATGTATAACTTCCAGTCAGTTGAACTCGAATCAAAACCAGAAGTGACAATTGTCATATTCGATATAATCAACATACGCAACAAATCAAATTTAATGTAAATCACAATCCATATTGTGATGTAAATACGATTGACTGAACAAACCTCTATTAATTTTTTGTATCTCACGTTTCAAAACACTTAATATTCCGTATCGGTGACAGTCCTGGATTTCTTATAGGGAAACCAGTGACAAGAGAACGTCTGAATGGAATAGGAATTTTTTAAATTAGTTTAAAAAAGTCCTTTATGTAAAAACAGTCTGCCAAACCTATTTGGTTAAGTACCCACAATCCTCTACAACAACAAAAAACTACCAAGTGCATACTCAAGTGGCACTTAATTTAAGTAAACATTTTGTTAAATTAACCTTAAAAATTTACTTTGAAGTAAAACTTTCTTTAAAGTTATTTAATAAGTTTTATTTATGTTATCCTTACCTATTTTAATAACCCTTAAGTTTCAACACTTTAAAGTAGTATGAGGGACGTAACTTTTACTTATAAGTGTATTTCAAGGTAATTTTAACGTCAGAATTTTTACTTAATGGTAAATGTTACTCATAAGTCATAATTTTACGATATTAAGACCACTTTATAACCGTAAATAATTCCTATTCGCCTGGTATTTTTTGGGGTTATTAGTGGTAATAAATACTATTAATATTGACTAAACAAGGAAAAATAGGCTTAAAGTGAAAAATAAAACTTTAAGAGAATTTTTTTTAGGTCGCCATAATGAGTTTTTTAAGATGGCATCTATTAATTATCTAAACATTTATGTAATATTTTTTCATAAATATTTGTCTAAAATATAATAAGGAAAGTTTTAGTTATTAAAATAAATAATTTTATAAAATTTTGTAGGTTTTAAGTTTTGTTGAATTGTTACTCACGCAATAATTATTCTTAAAACCTTAAAATATTTAGAGGGCATACAATTTTTAAGATGTATCGTGACTATTTTTATCAATAACATAATGTGCGTTTGAGTTTTAATGCAAAATATTATTAGTTCTGACAATTTAAGTTATATTTTTTAATTTTACTCTAGGGTGGCCTTCATTACTTTGTAAGTACCATTTTGTAAAATATAAATTAAAAGAACAAAGAAATTACGAATGTCAATGTTTTAGAAAGAGAGAGCAAACAGTTTGTAATTATAGCGTTGTTTTTATTACGTTATTCTCTTAGTAGATCAAAAAGGTTATTATGTAGGTGAAATAACGAAATAAACCATTTCCCAAATTTGCTAATTTTTCGTATCTATACCGTTATAAAACCGTTTTGCTTAACCGTAAAAATACTTTAAAGTTGACAGTAGTAAATGTGTAGTTATTTTAACTCAAAATACTGCTTCGGTAAGAATTATGTCATCCAAATACGAAAAACCCAATATTACAAAAAAACATGATTTGTATAGGAAAATATAAAAATTTGGTTCATTTCTGTTAAAAATAAGAATTTAGGTAAAATTACACTTGGTCTTAAAAATCATGGGTTTTTCGGTGAATAATAATAAACATTATACCTTCCTGTCTAACAAAGGAAATAATGAACTTATTATTCACGTATACAAATATACTAATATTAAGTGTATCTTCTTATTATCTAAAACAGTGTTCAATTAAAACTTGTTTTTAATGAGTTTGGAACATTTTTTATAAAACTTTGTTTCGACATTTTGATTAAAATTTGTCGGGCAATTTGGGCATAAATAAACTTTATAAAACATTTAATATTAGAACTAGACGTGTTTAAATTAAAGTTCGCTTATTTGAAGTTTTTTATAGGTTTTTTTAGTTTTAAACCAGTTTTAATGGTATTTAATAAAATTGAACTAAAAAATTAAGTATTTTTGAACTTAAAATTAAATTTACCTTTCATGTTTCACTATTTTTTTTAGGAAAATTAAGCAAAATAATTTATGTTCCTCAAATAACTTAAATGCTGAAAATATTCACTTCGTTGAGTATTCTGCTCTAGCAGGTTTAGCTTTGACAATTTCGGAAACTTTTAATTAATAATTATTGAAAATTAAGTCAAACTACAACCCCTTTTTAAAAGTTATCTTTTTCAAAAAATAAATATAATAAAGTAAAATTCTTGGAAAAGTACTGTGACACTAAGTAATACTTCACTAGCAAAAGTTAGCTTTATATTAAGAGGTGAAAATCTAATACCTGTTATGAAAAATATAATACTCCTTTTAAGATTTCTCTTTTAGTATTAGGACTAGTTCATAGACAGTATGAACTCGGTTTTGTTAAAACATCTTGTAACATTTATCAGACATACTATTATCTCTTATAAAATCGATATGCTGCCACCATAAAATGATATTGTATAATCAAAATCTTAAATACTATAAACCCGCTTTATATCGAGTATTAAATGTTTTTCAGATTGCTATGTGTATTTAAAAATTCTTATACCCTGTACATTTACGTATATTATATAATGTAAAATAAATAAAATATTATAATGGGAATCGATAAAAACAGTTTTCGTGTACCTGCATCGTGCTTTTCCAAGATCAAGTTACTTATTAAACTAAGGCTTATGCTCGTATCTTAATGTCTAATGATTACAAAAATCTACCCTTAACAATTGCCATCTATTAGAGCCAGCAGATGTCACAACAAATAAACAAAACACTACAGCCACAGACACTTATTACTCGCGGTCAGTTCGCATCTCCCCTGAAGTGATCCCGCCAGAACAATGCACCATGCGCATGTGCGTAATATCTTGTTCGTAGAACTCGTTTTGGACACTCATTTAATTAAGCACTCGCTCAACTAAAATGGTTGACTATAATTATAACTTGAAAGCGACTAAAGCATGTGTAATCCATTAGTAAATAAGAGCTCTTAATAATATTTTTTCTTTAGTGCCTTTCAAAAATGATAAACGGTTAATTAGTAATGAAATATATATTTAAATTAAGTATTATATATTTAGTTGGTTAATACAATAATTATTAGCATTATATTATAATACCTTTTGTACTTAATATTGTTTTAATTTAAAGTATAATATGGCTATAGCCTATAGCTATATTATATTGATGTTTAAACATAATAATATTTTGTAGAACCTATGTAAAATCGAAAATTGTTTGAAATCAAACACATAATTTTATTAATTCCTATAGGAATTACACAAACAAATATACCCATACAAAATCCCCGTGTTTGCAATATTAGGTAATTAACATGGCAAAAATATTTTTATTGAGAAAAAAATTAATTTTTTTAATATATATTTAATTTACTAAAGAAAATATGCAAGCTGTTGCTTTGTTTTTCGGTAGTTGAAATGTAAAAACACATTAGAAATATGTAAAAAATACTATTAGTATTGTAACTTTTTTACTGTTCGTAGTGTGAATTAAACACGCACTGGTTTATTAACGAACTAAACTATTTATTTTATTGCTTAATTATAATACACTTAAAACACTAAGAAACTATAGAACTAACTAAACACTTAACTACTAATTATTTATATATCACTACTGTACAACAATCTATTTATTTGCACGTATATTTATTTTATTTTGTCGCGAGTACCAAAGCTTGACTAACTCTCCATGCTGCGATGTTCCTTATATATTTAGTGCCTACGTCACTACTCACGCAAGCGCCTTCCAGAATATTCCAGCGAACTCCGGTGGCTCTTGATCGTTCGAACGCTGACTATTGTTATATTAAAAGTACTTTATGAACAACATTGTAATTTTTAATCATGTAAATAAATGTAGACAACGGTAATTTAAAAAATGTAAAATTACATAAAAAATGTAATAAAACGTAGTACATGAAAACCAACGATCCAGTATGTAATTTTTTTATCAGTGCTTTACATTACATTTGAAAGTAAGTTTTAAGTACTAATTATATCGGCATTATGGCACATATGAAACTAATTGATCTTTTTAATACACATTTCGTGTTTTTTAGTCACTAGTTGTATGACAATATTTGAAAAGTTTACTTGCACTATAAAAAACTGCTTTTATATCGGATTTAAACAGTTAATAGTCCATTTCAAGGAAAAAATTTGAAAAATTTGTTCGCCATAATAAAATTAATCCTGGCGCATTCGCCAATTTTGCAACTTTGTAACATTTTACTTATTTTGCAGCTGAAATTCGCAATGCATCGAAAACAGACTTACGGGTTGAAAAGTAGTCGGTTCCAATGAACAGAACTGCAAGGATGTTAAATGTAGATCCGACAGAGTTCAAAAAACTTGCCATCGAACTTCAACTGAACCTATCTGAAAGCGACATCGAGGGTCTAATTAGGACGAAAATGGATTATCTGAACATTTCAAACGACAGCGTGCCCCCCCAGGATGATAATCTCTATTGCGGAGGGCCTTTGGAGAGGATAGCTGAAACTTACGGCGACAAATACCATCCTTACCTCGCCATTACCGTTTGTATCTTCGGAACTTTGTCGAACATATCCAACATCGCGGTGTTAACCAGGAATGATATGGCGAACGCTCCAGTCAACAGGATACTAACAGCTCTGGCAGTGGCAGACATGATCCTGATGATCGAGTATATCCCATTTGCCTATTACTACCATATTGAGCTGAAGGGAGATTTCGATTTTCCTTACGTGGGGGCGGTCTTCATACTCTTTCACATGCACATCACTCAGATTCTGCACACAATTTCCATCTGTTTGACTTTGGCTTTGGCTATATGGAGATTCCTTGCTATTGGGTAAGTCATTTTGTTATTTTAATATTTTATCTCCACGCGGTCTATAATTTAAACTTTATTGTTGTCAACATTCGATAAAGAAATACCTTGTTATGGCCTAGGCCAAAAAAAATTTTATGAGGCAAGTAATTAGTTCGATTTTTTCTCGCTAGGGGTATTGTTTTGACAAATTAATCCTTTTCTAAAAAATTAACGTACTAAACTGGTTTAATTTATTTATAATAAGCACTAATTTGTTTGTTTTACTGTTAATGTTTAATATTTTTCATTAAATTATTGTAAAATTAAATGTGAATAATAAAACAAAAAGTGAGGTTAGGCAACCAAGAAAACGCACGATTCTTTTTCTACGATTTAAATTATATTTTTTAAAGTTTTAATTTGCTTTAAGTTTTCAGTGAAATTAAATGTTAAACACAGCTTAAACATTCCAAACTACCTTTTTTTTAAATAAAAATCCAAAAAATTGAAATTAGATACCTACCTATTTATTAAACAATTAATTGAATTCAATAATAAATATTTTACATTTAATGTAATCTTTAGCTAATAAATAAATGAGATTCTAAAAAAGTGAGGTTAGGCCGCTTTTATGTTGAATTAAATTGACATATATAAAGTGCTTTGAAGATAAAATGTTGTATGCCATTCGGCCAAGAAGTTCCTTTTTGTGCTTCGCTCAATTGTAAACCTTGAGCTTAGCACAAAAAGCCTTACTTCTTAACCTAATGACATAAATAACTATTTTGTAAATATTTTAGTATATTACAAAAGATCCAGGTTTTTTTAACTTGTCCACCCAATTTTAATGTATTTTTTTAAAAGCACGTTTGTAAAAAAACATAATAAATATTTAAACATACCTTGGCGTGTCACAACTCCTGAATCAAATATTTCAGTGATTTTATTTTAAAATATATTCAATTTATCCTTAATTTTTCAATTTTACGACAAACTATAAAACATTAAATAATGTATTCTTCATATTTTATCATAGATTCGAATAATAGCAATTTTTAAAAAAATGATATTCTTTGTACTCACTTTTACCCGTCAGTTCTGTGTCCAATGTTAAAATTCAAAATTCCTGCGAAATATTGAAGTTTAAACGTCAAGTCCTCATTTTAACTCAAGTGTTGGTAAAAAATTACCAACAGAGCCCGCCCTTTGCACGACAGGCATCTTGAAAACAATGCAAGCGGCGAAGTTGTGGTGAATGCACGTATAGTTCCAGTCAAAATTTCAGTAATGTGGTGAGTAGTTATTTTCTTACGGATATATATTTTATTGCAATTTATGTAAGGCTATATGTGATTTGTTGATAAGAAGCATCCACTAATAAAAAATATCAGTAAAATACTTAATTCCGAATTATAATCTCAAATTTGTATCCCATTAATCAGTACCGTGTCGTCAGTTCCATGTTCGATGTTTCGGTTATCTTTTTTTCGCAAACTTCAATTTAAATTCTGCTTGCGCAGAACTTGTTTATTTAATGTCATTATAAACTCATATAAATTTGGTGTGGGTCCCATATCTAATAATTGAGATACCGGTATACCCAAAATCCACCAGCCGCCACTGATGTGTGGTATTATTTGATTTTAAGATATTTAATGTATAATATGCTCAAAGTTGCAATAAATCTTATATTTTTCAATAAATTATGTATTTAATTAGTACCCTGGTATACTCGTCATTTCCTTGCATTCAAATTTAGAAAACACAGATATTTCAGAAACTGTTTGAAAAAGTGGCTGGAACATTATATTTATTATATTATCTATGTTCTCATAACAAAATACTGTTTAATTTTCTCCGAAAACTATATCAACAAAATGAGGTCAAAAGTTGCCCAACTTTTGTAGAATCACCCATAGGTAAAATTGACAACATAAACAAGCAGTATTTGTTTGAAAAATCATGATTAAATTGTTGTCACTGGTGATAGCTGGCGAATTTAATTAACGGTTTCAATTCACGTAATCACTATTAATTATTTTGATGTGTGGCAGTGACGGCTCGTCAAAAAAAACTAAAAAAGTAAAAAATCAATTAATCATACTTAGGACAAATGGCTATGCGGAATACACATGTGTACAAAAATGTTTGTTATTTTTTTAACCTAATAATAACCAGATTTTATAATATCAAAATGGGTTTTTTAAGGTATACAAGGGCTGCAGTAAACTACTCTTAAGGGTAATTTGCATTGCTTAGTTAAAACCTATTTTTTAACAGCAGCTATACAGCTTCGATAAAACCTTCAAAGGGCTAAAAAGGAGAATCCTATAGCTGTCCTCAGGAGCAATTTGTGTGTCAACCACAAAGCAACATTGCTTTATTGTATTACTCCTAAGGTACACCTTATAGCAGCCATAAAACCTACCTTACAGCTGTCATAAAACCTGCTGTGCAATAGGTTTTAAGGAGGTAGTATACTTTTGTTGTAAACACATTTTAGCTGAGAATTTGTACTTATCGATATACCTTTTTACTTTATTGTTGTACTTTGTAAATTCCATATTCCTAATACTTCTTTGGTATATTGTTGCCTTATGAATCACAAGCATAGGCCATTATTGATTTTAAAAACTTAATTAGAAAATTATTATTTTCAACCAATAACTTTCGGATGCAAAAATCATAAACAAATACTACTTTACTGATAAAAGTTGATTGCCGAGACACAAAACGTTTGATGCCCACTGAAATGGGCTTAATTTAATAGTATATTATGTATCAAGTTTGATAAACGCCATTTTATCGTTGATAAACGAGGTCTACGACAAATTCTTATTATTATCTTAAAATGATTTAAATCAAAAATTTGTATAGAGCGCCATCTATGAAACAATAGGGGAATCTGTGTGTCACCGTCAAATGTCAAATTTTTACATTTTATAAACACAATTATAAAGGTTATAAATCGAAATGTATTTCTTGAAAGTTGAAAGTTTTTCACATTGAAAGTAAAGAAAATGTTTTATGAGCACTTTACAGTGGAGTCCGTGCCCGAATTTAAGTTATAGTTTACTGCCGGCGAAATTAAAAGGTCATTACAATGTTCATATAAACTTTTCAAATATTGGCGTTGAGAAACTATTTAATACTTTTGTATTTTTGTTTTGAGATAATAAAATAATTTTCACATTTAGTTTTATTTTACAAGAAAGGCAATTTATTTTAACGATTGTATGACATTTGACAACTGTCAACTAACTTAAAACTAACTTCAGCCCGTGACTAAAGCGCCATAAAGCCACAACTTGTCAATGTGTATTTAAAAGATCACTTAGTGTCGTGGAAACATGTATGATAAAGGGCGTTTTAAAGGTGGGAGTAGAAAATAGTATATTATGTATCAATTTTTATAAATATATTATGTATCAAGTTTTATAAATGCCATTTTAGTTACGAGTTTTATTAGGCACGAGCGAAGCTTGCAAGCAAATGTGTCTAGAGAAGTTTATAAAACGAATTGCATACTATACTTTATCTACGACGTACACGAAGAAGAATTTAAAGCCAATTTTGACATCTGTCAACTTTTGACATCTGTCAACTTTTAACGGATTTTACCTCACTTTTTCCTAATTTATAATAAAGCTTCAGCCCGTGACTAAAATGCCCAAAAGCCACTGTTGATAACTTCAGCCCGTGACTAAAACACCATAAAGTCGCTATTTGTTAAAACTATTTGTTAAAACTAATAAGCCCTATGACTGCATTTTTCAAGGCAATCATAAAACCAATTGGAATTTCGTGCGAGCATTTTAAAACAACTTTGCAGTATTTTCCTTAAAAGTATCGCCATCAGGGCTATGATGCTTTGTCAGATGATAACACCTAAAAATTGTCTTAATTGCTGTGATAGAATGATGCGGATTTAGCTTTTGGTTGGAACAGGACGTTGAAGGAATTTAATGAGTATTATCAACCGGATGTTTTGACAACAACACAAAAGAACAACTTTGTTTTTCTATAAAAATTTCCACTTTTTTTGTAATTTTAACCACCGCTCTTAAAAACTGGCGGCGACATGTTGACAAGAGTTATTTTCTTTGCGATTATCAAGTCAAAAGCGTTTTAAGAAAGAAATAATAGCAACTCATACAATTTTGCAAATTGGAAAGCAAATTGGTTATATTAAAGACGTATTGCTGTTTTACTAGGAACAATCTAAAACCTGTTTACTGTTTGGTTCTGTAACATTTTTACATAAAGGAAAAGTAGTCCTAAGATGCTTCTATGAGCCAGCTTTATCAGACGCATTAAGCCAACTTTCCGAGCACCATTAAAACCAATAGGCATCTGATAAACCTTTATAAAGCTTATAGGACTATAGGCGTTTCTTAGGGGCAAGTTTCCCTAAAAAAGCAATATTGGTTAACAGTAATAAATCAATTTTAAGATCAAATGGTTATAATTGCAAGGAGGGTCCGGTTGTCATAAAATTTTATTTATTATGTTGGTATACATGCCCCCAAAGTATGATAAAAACTTTAGCTGTTTTCATTGTTTACTTTGTCTGTGGTAGCCGCTAAGGTAAGACGTGTTTTATGAGCTCGGCGATTTTCGTTCGTTAAAAGAAGTGGATCAAAGAGAATTTGTATCCAATTTTGCTTAAAAAATGAAATAAATTCTGTAAAATGTTAACAAAGGAGTCTGCTATAAGTAAAACAAGAGTTTACAAGTGGTATACGAGTTTCCAAGATGGCCGTGAAGACGTTGAAGATGACGAACGCCCCGAACGCACAAGCACATTAACAACCTATAAAAATAAGGAAAAAGTGGAAAAAATGGTTATAAACCATCAGATAAGTCGCTGATGATGTTGGTATATCGATTGGCTCATCCCATGAAATTTTTTCAAATGTTTTGGGCATGAAACGCGTGGCAGCAAAATTTGTTCCAAAATTGTTAAATTTTGAACAAAATTTTTGGCCAAAAACAATACTCTAATGATGCCCCAGCCTCCATATTCGCCAGACATGCCT